CCCTTCTTTGTAATGTAAGGCTGTAAAGCTATCCATTTCCCTCTAAGCACTGCTTTAGTTGCATCCCAGAAACTCTGATATGTGGTGTCTTCATTATCAATTCAAGATATTTTCCGATTTCCTTTGTGGTTTATTCTTTGACCTATGGGTTATTTCAGAAGTGTGTTTTTAAATTTCTAAGTATTTTGGGTTTTTTTCTAGATATCTTATTGATTCTCAATTTTATTTCACTGTGATCAGAGTATATACATGCTCTGTAAAAGTTAAGTCTTTTGAAATACTCTGAGACTTTTTTTATGGCCCCAGAGTATGGCTCATGTTAGTGAATATCCCATGTGCATTTGGAAAGAATGTGCAAATTTTGGTTGTAGTGTTCTATAAATATCGCATCAGTGTGGTTGATAGTGTCATTCAGTTCTATATCCTTATTGATATTTTTGTTTAGTTCTTCTATCAAAATTACTGAGAAGGGTTTTAAAGCACCAGTTATGATGGTTTGTCTGTTTTCCCCTTTCATTCTGGTAGTGTTTGATGTGTGTCTTTTAAAGTTGTATTATTAGGTGCACACGCATCTATAATGATTATGTCTTCCTGATAAATTGATTGTTTTGTCATTAAATTTCCCTCTTTATCTCTGCTGATACTCCTTGTCTTGCAGTCTGTTTTGTCTATTATAACCACAGCAGCTGTCTTCTGGCTGTGTGATACGTCGTTTTCCATCCTCTTGTGTTTTCCACAAGGAACCCTGGTGGTGCAGTGGTTAAGCACTTGACTGCTAACCTAAAGATTAGCAATTCGAACCCACCAGTCGCTTCACTGGAGAAAGATGTGGCAGTCTGCTTCTGTAAAGATTACAGCCTTGTAAACGCTATGGGGCAGTTCTATTCTGTCCTACAGGGTCTCTGTGAGTTGGAATCGACTCGATGGCAACTTTTTTTTTTTAACGATATTTTCCAACCCTATTGCTTCTTGAAATATGAATTCCATGTGTTACTATCGGTTTTATAAAGTACTCTCATAGACGCACACTGTCTGAAATGCTGTAGATATAATTTTTATGTAATTTACTATCAGATATCATACTAGGGAGTAACTAAAGTAGCCATTCATTTGGTAAATATGTATTAGCTGCCGGAGTTTTTCATGGCACTTAAACACTGTACCAGAACCATCTCGCGGGACACTCATTCCTAATGTGCTTTTCATTGTATGTTGTTGTTGGCTCCCATCAAGTCAATTTCGACTCATAATGACCCCATGTGACAGAGTAAAACTGTCCCACAGGGTTTCCTAAGCTGTAATCTGTAGGGAAGCAGAACGCCACGTCTTTCTCCCGCAGAGCCACAGGGTGGGTTCAAACCATCAACCTTTTGGTTAGACAGACCTAGCACTTAATTGTTGTGCCCCCAGGACTCCTTCTTCATCATATGAACTCCCTAAAATGACCTGTCCATTGTGCTCAAATGCCTGTCGTAAGTTATAAGGGCTACACCTAGCCCTGGGGCTTCTAGGATTTGAGGAATGGATTTTATTCGTGACTTCATGAGCTTCAGTGGTACCACCTTTGTCATTTCACAGCAAAGAGTTGGGATCATTTTAGCTTGTCTTTAAATGTTGGCAGCTCCATCCTCCTAATAATTTTAGTTGCCCTTTCTGGCCTTCCCCTGTCCTGTCATGTTGGTGAGACGGGGGCCACAAGAACTACATCCTGGATGAAAGGCCTGTGTTCCTCATGGTTTTGAAGCCAGACAGTGTCATTTTTCTAACCACCTTCCAAAACCATGTCACTTTAACAGACGCAGCTTATATAGACCCGGGGTCAGCAGCTGTGGCCCGTGGGCCTTATCTGGCCCACCACTTGATTTTGTAAATAAAGTTTTATTGGAACAAGATCATTAGTTTATGTATTAGCAGTGGCTTCTTTTGCACTACAACAGCAAAGTCTAGTAGTTTTAATAGAAACCATATGGACCCATTGTTGTTAATTGCCGTCAAGTCGATTCCAACTCATGGTGACCCGAAGTGTACAGAGAAAACTGTACTCCATACGGTTTTCAAGGCTGTGACCTTTTGGAAGCAGATCACCAGGCCTTACTTCTGAGGCACCTCTGGGTGGGTTTGAACCGCCAACCTTTCAGTTAGTAGTCCAGTGCTTAACCATTTGTGCCACCCAGGAACTCTGTCCATATGGACCACCAACCTAAAATATTTACTTTACTCTGAGCCTTTACCAGAAATGTTTGCTGAGCCCTGGTCTACACAATAGAAGTTAAACAGTGTGATAAACATAGCTAGCACATGGTAAACAGTGTGTTGAACTAGCGAGCATGTTAACATGAAAACTCCGTGTGATGTTGAATAGCTTGCATTCTGGATGGTGCCATCTGGCCACGGTGAGCAGAACATGGTCTGTCTATCCCCAACACTTCCCTGGACCCTCCTTATTTAAATAAGACTGAGACTTTGGAGCAAAATTATTTCTGCCTGTGAAACAAGGAACTGATCTCAGCCAAGTAGCTTTCTAGCTTTATCATTCATGGATTCTTTTCACAAAGCATCCTAGTCACATTATTTCCTCCTAGGATCACTGCCCTCATCCTGTTCGTGGCTTCAGACAGGAACAAAGTGGTATACGGTGTGCAAATGGCCAATTTAAACCTTTAGAGAAAACTCTTTAAAACAGACTTCGATTAAGAAACTCCCGACAGAGTGATCCCAATGGTCAGTTCTGTCAAGAAGCGAAAGTTGGAGATCCGGGAAACATGATTGGAAATGCACAATCTCCTCTTTTGGAAGAGAAAAAGAGTGTAGGAGCTATCAGGCTAAGGCTTCATTTAATGCTCAGCCACCTCCGCGTGGCTCTGGGGACATCTAGTGGTTGACAAGAACTGAGTCATGCACATACGGGACAAGCATGTGCTGGTGGACCTCGGGGGTACCAAAGGCATTGAGGAGGAGAAGGATAGGGGGCTCAGGGAATATCTGCCTTCGATAAAGATGGGATTAAAGCAACACACTCGGATTCAAACACACACACACCTCTTTCTGCTTTCCTTGGGCAAATTATTTTAATCTGTTATCAGGTTTTTTTTTACATTAAACAAAAAGACTTTTTCTCCTCTTTCATTTATTCTTGGTGGGAACTTTGGAGCGATAGACGAACATATAAAAAATCCAGCAGGTGTCTATTGAGTTCCGACTCTGTGCTGGGCACTGTGCCAACCACATGTGTGATGTGTGCTGAACAGTTCAGTCCTCACCGAGCCCACTAGAGGCAGCAGCCAGGGAGATTCTACACATGAAGAAGCCACCTCCCTTCTCAAGTCCGTCTATTTAACTGCTGCTCAAATGCTCAAGGTCACCAGCTGCTTATTTAAAAGTGAAGACAGTTTGATCCAACCACTTCATTCTGGTTCAAACCCCTGCTGAGAATTTGCATTTCTAACAAGTTCCCAGGAGATGCTAATGCTGCTGGTTAGGGACCAATTCTGAGAACCACTAGTAGAGGCCAACCAAACCAAACCAAACCCCCTGATGCATAGTGACCCTATAGGACGGAGTAGAACTGCTCCATAGGGTTTCCAAGGCTGTAAACCTACAGAAGCAGACTGCCACATCTTTCTCCCACAGAGTGGCTAGTGTGTTCGAACTGCCGACCTTCGGTTAGCAGCTGAGTGTTCAACCACTGCACCACCAGATCTCCGCTAGTAGTGCAGTGGTTCTCAAATTTTATTATACATAAGAATCACCTGAGGATCTTGTTAAAATGCAGACTCTGATTCACTGTAGCTGGAGTAGAAATGCAAATTCTCAGCAGGGGTTTGAACCGGAACAAACTGGTTCAAAGCCTTGGGTTGATCTTTACTAGTTTCATGGAATGAATTTGTATCATCTGCCACTTTGTGTTGATACTGAGTCTTTTTGTCTAGAATTTTTTTTAACTACCTGCTTGAAGGATTTATGTATCTGACAGCAAAGAACTATATTTTGCTCCTTTCTTATAGGCAATGAGCAATGTGAAGAGACACCGTTCTTATTACCTGCTAAAATTTCTGAGGACTTCTCTGGAGCCAGGAATGAGATGTGTAGTGTAGTGTCCCCACGGAAGATCTTTCTCCCCCAAGGGCATTGGTTTTCAACCGGGGGCAGGTCTGCCCCCCAGGAGACATTTGACAGTATCTAAAGATATTTTTGATTGTCACAACTAGGGGTCAGGGATGCTACAGGCGTCAAGTGGGTGGAGAGCAGGGATGCTGCTCAGCACCCTGCAGTGCACAGGACGGCCCCACCCCAGAGAAGGATCCAGCCCCAAATGTCATCAATGCCGAGGGGGAAAACCCTGCCCTGGGAGAATGCATTTGTAATTTGCGGTCACGCAGCTCCCCTAATTACAAGCATTCGTCAGGAGTTTTCAGTTTGCTGGATAAACAAGTAAATGATTCAGCAGCAGGCCCTTCAAAAGGGTTTAACCTGGTCAGACCGGAAAAGGGGGAAGCTGGTGTCCCCGGCCTTCTGTTGAGGAAGGACTGTGTGTGTGTGATCATGGTCATTGCCAGAGCCTTTTGTTGTTGTTTTATATTTGGAAACCCATTCTCTGACCCCCCTTTTTCTATAGACTAATTGTGCAGCTTTTTCACCCCATCTGCCTTCCCCGGTATCACCAGTGTTTTTGCACGTAAACTTTGAAGAATGTTGGTAACTTGTACTTGCCTGGGTGGTACAAATGGTTAAGCGTTCAGCAGCTAACCGAAAGATGGGAGGTTCAGATCCACCCAGAGGTGCGTCAGGAGGAAGGCCTGGTGATCTGCTTCCCGAACACCAGCCATCGAAAACCCTGTGGAGCAGAGTTCTCCCCCGACACACGCAGGGTCGCCGTGAGTCAGCAGCGACGTGGCGGCAACCGGTCTAGCACTTGCCTGTCTTTGTACTTGTCTGCATTTTCCTCCCTGGGCTGCGTGATTTCCACCCCGCCCACTCAATCTCTCTCTGCCTTTCTTTAGAGCTGAGCATGCAGAATTCAGAGAGCGGATCCGAGTCGCCAGCTTCTGTGGCTTTGCGTCCATCGGCGGCAGCCCCAGCACCCGGGGCCCAGCCCGTGCCCGCCTCGCCGCAGGTAACAGAACAGCCCAGCTCTGCCGCCCAGGTGCTTCCAGGGGAGATCCAGTCCACCCACACTGCCGACTCACTCATTCTGGTGTTAAAACACACTGGAATCAGTATGTTTGTCTGAATTGACTTATCGCTCCCAAGACAGCTGCTATGGAAGTAGCCGCGCCTTTGTTATTTGGCTTTCTCATTATTTGTTAAATCTAAGTCCCACCCAGGAAAACATGATCTGCACTGGAAAAGAGGCTGCTCTGCTGAATCCAGCTTAGTTTATGCTGATTTTGTGTGGGTGCGTGTCTGTGTGTCTGTGTGAGAGAGACAGAGATAAAAATATATAGAACAAAACATGTGCCATTCTAGTATTTGTTACATAAACAGTTCAGTGACATTAATTACGTTCATCATGTGCAAACATCACCACTCTCTGTTTCCAAATTTTTCCATCCATCCTTATCTTTTCATGGATGTTTTCTCTTACCTTGGAAGTTGCCCTGTAACACAGGAATACATTATGGATAAGACAAGAAATAAGTTAGAATTTTTCGTGTTTGGTGCAAAATGAGTGTCTGGTGGCACAGTCGTTAAAGTGCTCAGCTGCGAACCAAAAGTCGGTGGTTTGAACCCACCAGCTGCTCTGCGGGAAAAAGATGTGCCAGTCTGCTTCTGTAAAGATTATAGGCTTGGAAACCCTGTGAGGCAGTTCTTCTCTGTCCTGCAGGGTCACTAGGAGCTGGAATTGACTCGACGGCAACCAGTTTGGTTTTTGAGGTTTATTTTCTGCTGTCTGTCTCCTTTATGTTTTACTGTAACTCATGGTAGATATCCAGAAGTAGAGAGAGCCGGAATGTAAGGATTCTCTCTCTGCAAATTTTAAAGAACATTTTCATTCTAATGCTAGATTCAATTTCACACCCCAAACCACCCAGTGCCATCATTTCCAAGGAGCAGCTGGTGGATTTGAACTGCCAACCTTTTGGTTAGCAGCCGAACTCTTAACCACTCCACTGCCAGCAGCATTCTAAAAATTAGGAGCACAGCGAAAAGACATTCATGAAGGGAAAACAACATAGTTTAGCAAACGCAAAAAGGCAGGCAGAGAAACAGTTTAGGTTCTGGGGGGGCACAAAAAGCTTTGCACTCGACTGTTAACCTAAAGAAGGAGTCCTGGACGTGAAGTGGTGAAAGCACTCAGCTGCTAGCAAGAAGGCCGGTGGTTCAAACCCACGGGAGAAAAGACCCAGGGACTTACTCTCAGAAACATTACAGACTAGGAAACACTATGCAGTTCCATTCTATCCTCCAGGGTCAGTATGAGTCGGCATCAATTCAAGGGCACACAACAACACCTAACCTAAAGGTTGGTGGTTTGCACCCACCCAGCGGCGCTGTGGAAGAAAGGCCTGGCGATCTGCTTCTGTAAAGATTATAGCCAAGAAAACCTTATGGAGCAGTTTTACTCTGTAACACATGGGGTCGCCATGGGTCAGAATTGACTTGACGGCAGTGGGTTAGAAACAACTCAATTTTAGAATGTGCAGTTGTACAACTTTAGCTTTTATTTCTTTCAAATATGGCAGCGGGGGCGGTGGGGGCTGTCTCAGACGTCCTTCTGAGGGTGCCAAGAGTGAATGATCAGACTTGGTCTTCCCGCCAGCAAGTCCTGGCCTCGCTGAACTTGTCCGAGCCAGCCCTCCTGCCTGCTGCTCCCTCGGTCCTTCTCCCAAGCCCCTCTCTCGGGCACCTACTGGGCCTGGGTGGGCTCCGTGTCCCTCTCCAGCAGTCACTGCAGGACTGGTCCCAGTGTCTCTGCCAAGACCATTGCGTCCACCCCAGGTCCCCCCCTGTCAGGGGCCCTACCAGGCTTCCATCCCCGCTGCAGGTGCTCCCAGCTCCCACCCTCCCTGGCAGCCTCCCGCCGCCCTTCCTCTCCCTCCTCCTCCTCCCCCAGGCACGCACCGTCTGCTCCCCACGCTGAGCCCCCTTCCCGCCAGTCCTCACCCAGCTCCCAGGGAGACAGCCTTCCCCACCAGCTCCAGCCCTCTTGTCCGCAGACCCGCGGAACTGTCTGCACTGGGAGCGCTCAGTCTGGCGGGCCAGGTCCTTCGCAGAAAGCGGTGGGCTCGCTCACTCGGGCCATAGTGGGCCCTTGCCCAGCCCCACACAGTCCACAGAACATTGCGCGGCAGCGGTGGAAATGGTCTGTGTCTGCGCTGGCCCACACAGGAGCCCCCGCCGCCCGGGGCCCTGGGGCGCTTGAAATGTGGCCGGTGGCGTGAGGAACTGGATTTTAGAATTTACTTGGATCTAATTAAATTGAAACTGCCACGTGGCTATACACCTAGTGGCTACGGTATTAGACACAAATACAAACGTATAAAGATACCTCATAAAGTCCAGTTACAAATGTGAATCCTTAAGATTCCCATTTATCTCTATGTATTTATTGATCTCTTTATTTAGTTTTCATTGAGGTAACATTCATATAACATAAAATTCACTGTTTTAAAGTGTACACTTCAGTAGCATTCAGTACATTCACAAAGTCGTGTGACCGTCACCACTGTCTAGTTCCAGAACATTCTCCTCACCCCAAAAGGAAAAGCCCGTGCCATTAAGTAATGGCTCCCCACCCTCCTTTCCCTCCAGCCCCTGGAACCGCTAATCTGCTTTCTGTCTCCATGCATGTGCCTAGTCTAGTATTTCATATAAGTGAGGACATACACTATTTGTCCTTTTCTGTCTGGGATCTGTCACTCAGCATAACATTTTCAAGGTTCATCCACGTGGTAGTATGTATCACTTCATTCCTTCTTACGGCCGAGTAATATTCCATTGTATGGATGGGTCCCATGTTGTTGATCCATCATCCTATTTGTTTTTGTACCATCTGCATTATTTCTATCGCCGGTTGTGGCTCAGGGGAGGCTGGACCCCTGTTGGAGTCTCTTAGCGCCCAGTGTCCCCCTCAGCTGGCACGTAGATGCCCGTTTGCTGGTGTCGTTAATACTCGTGTTTTAATTAATTGCATTCCTTGAACACTAGAGGGCAGTGTAGAGGTGTGGTGGGAGTTGCGGTTTGCGAACTCAGAGTTGCTAAGAAAATGAAACATTGCAAAAGTCACCACTGTTTTTGGGTGCTGTCGAGTTGATTCCGACTCATAGTGACCCCATGTGACAGAGCAGAGCTGCCCCGCAGGGTTTCCTAGGCTGTAATCTTTACAGGAGCCGATCACCAGGTCTTTTCTCCTGCAGAGCCGCTGGGTGGGCTGGAACTGTTGACCTTTTGGTCAACAGGCAAGCACTTAACCAAGGTGCCACCAGAGCTCCTTAGATCACCACTACCAGGGACGTTTAGGGACCACGTCGGAAAATCACAGGATCACAGTTGATGCCTTCCAAAGCCCCAGCTTTCAGTAAACAAACAGCCCTTCTGTTCCTCTCTTGACTTTGGGGTATATTTCAATCCTTCACATTTTCATAGCTTTTGCAGGCAGTCGGTTCCCCAAGAAAACTAACCAGGCTGCCCTGTGAGGACTGACTTGTGAGACCAGACAGGGGGGTGGGACCAAAGAACAAGAGATGTGGAGGCAGAAAACCTGGATCAAGTCCGGATGCTTGAAGTCCGTATTCTGAGGCTGTAAGGTGGGACTTAGCCACTCTGGATACCATTTTCCCTAGTGTGTAAAATGGGTACACGTCTCATGTGGACTGGAAAACCTGGGGTGCTGTAGAGTGCTCGTCCAGGGGGAGGTGGTGTGGACGACCTTCCAGATGGTTCTTCTCCTCACGAACCTTTCCCCTCGTGCCGGAGATACCTTGCAGACAAGACTACTGAGGAAAAGCTACCTGGGGGCAGGCGGGGGCACACGTGCTTGTGTGTGTGTGAGTGTGTGTGTCTCCGTGTGTGTGTCTGTGAGTCTGTGTGTGTGTGAGTGTGTGTGTGGGTTCATCTGTGTGAGTCCATGTATGTGTGAGTCTGCGTGTCTGTGTGAGTCTGTGAGTGTGTGTTAGCCTGTGTGTACACAGTGCATGAGGTGAGTATATGTGTGCACGCTTGTGTACATGGATGTGTGTTGTGCACGGGTGCAGTGAGTCCATGAGCGTGCACATGCCTGTTTGTCTGCCCTTTGACAAAGCAACAGTGCAGTAGGCAAGCAGTGGCTTTGGTTGTAACCTCTGTGTGTTTACCGAACGATCCCTGACTTGTAAATGTCCTTCTTGTCCCTTCCCTTCCAGCGGGTGTTGGTCCAGGCAGCCGGCTCCGCTCCCAAAGGGGCCCAGATGCAGCCGATTTCCCTTCCCAGAGTGCAGCAGGTGCCACAGCAGGTAAGGACAGCTCCGCCGACTCGGAGCTTGGAGCTCGGCTGTTGTTGTTAGGTGCCAGCGCGTCGATACCAGCTCGTAGCCACCCCATGTCACAGAGTAGAACTACTCCATAGGGTTTGTTTTTTTTAATAATTTATTTTATTTATTTTTTGTTGTTGTTGAGAATATACACAGCAGAACACACACCAATCCAACAATTTCTGCTTGTGCAATTCAGTGACATTGATTACATTCTTCAAGTTGTGCAATCATTCTCACCCCCCTTTTCTGAATTGTTCTTCCTCCATTAACATAAACTCACTAAGTTTCCTTCTACTCTTTCCGTGGGGTTTTCTTGGCTGCAGTCTTTACAGGAGCAGATCGACAGGTCTTTCTCCCGAGGAGACTCTGGGTGGGTTTGAACCACTAGTCTTTCAGTTAGCAGTCAAGCACTTAACCATTTGTGCCACCCGGGCTCCCTGTAGGAACGCAGCTAGCATTTAGCAATCCAGAATGGTCCCTTAGCACATCCTTCTTTGTCGTTGCTGCTGCTTTTTGTTTGATAGCTTCAGTTGCTTGCCCAGAAGGTCCTTCTGGCAGCTATGCAAAAAAATTAAAAAAAACTTTTACTGCAGATAGTTTTGTAGTAAGCCAAGAAAGCTGATGGTCTTTCATTGGTTCATGAATTCTGTAAGCGTTTGGTGAGCAGGCAAACACCCAGCGGCACTGGGCAGAAGCACGCCAGCCAGCCAGGGTTTCCGGATCAGGGGTACGAGGAGCTTCCTGGGGAGACAAGCCCACACGCAAGCGAGTACTGCACCCTTAGATGAGCACCTCCCCTGAAATTCAATTACTGGAGCATACAGCTTGAACGCTTGCGCTAACCTGCCAAATAATAACACCGATCATCAATTTAAATATAGTCGGCATGATCTGTAACAGTCATCCACAAGCCTTCTTCTATAAAAGGCCAGAAAGTAAATATTTTTGGCTTTGCGGCCCCGACGGGCTCTGTCACAACCACTCAGCTCTGCCGTCGGACTGTGAAAGCAGCCACGGATAATGAGTAATGAGTGGGCATGGCTGTGTGCCAATAAAACTTTATTTATAAAAATGGTGGGCCAGAGTTCACGGATCCCTGCTGTGTAAGATGCTGTTAAAATTACTCCAGGCTCCTGCCAAAAGGAACTAAAGCATCGTATAGAGATGTTCAAGACCAGAGAATGGGTCTCTCTCTTCAAGGGGCTCCTGCCTAGATTGGTAGCGAGTTTAGAGACGCTTCTCCGGCGACTGCGTCAATAAGAACTGGGAAGATTTGCGGGGTTATAGAAAGCAAAGGCTCGGGCAGGCCCAGCAGGGAACCCGGCCTTCAGGCCAGGGCCCAAATGTTACTGCCTCACTCATCTGTCCAGGTGACATCATTGAGGGAGGAGAGACATAGACCAATGTGTGACTCCAGAAGCTTCCCAACCCTCAGTGGCTGGGCCTGTTCCAGATCTCTCTCTCTCTCAGTGTCTCTGACCTACTGGGTGACTCTGCATGTCACCTGGCCCCCTGGGCTTTGATTTCTTCCCCTGGGGACACCACCCCACATTTCTAGAACTTTCTCCTGGCATGCTTGTTATTCCAGGGACTTGTGCATTTTGCAAGTGTAAACCATGGCTGGGTATCCTAGCATGTGGGCATCAGCCCTGTCCTGCATCCCCAAGTAATGGCTTTCAGGGGTGGCCATGGTGAGACATGGGCATAGTCAACACGTTGGCCCTCAATTTCCTCACTCTAAAATTAGGCTGAATTGAGCATCCATTAAGATCCTCTCAGCTAGGAAGAAGGAGAGTCAGGAATTGGAGGAGGAAATGGAATGTATGGCTGATTGCTTCCATGAACAACTGCCTCTTTTGCCATAAGACCAGAAGAACTGAATGGTGCCTGGCTGCTCTTATGAACATTTTGATCAAAGATTCTGTAGAAGAATCCTGATCAAAAGGGTGGAAAATGTAGAGAACAGAATTTCAAATACTCAAAGAATCCAGACTTTCTGGAGCCACTGAGGTGGGACGAACCCCCAAAACTATTACCCAGAGATAATCTTTAAACCTTAAACCAAAATTATCCCCTGAAGTCTTCTTCAAACAAAAGTTCAGCTTAATTGTCTGCCTTGAGCATTGTGTTCTTTTAAGGAACTATCTATATGAGATCAAATTGATAATAGCAACTCGAAAGGTCAGATAGGAAGCTTAGGGGGCAGTGAGTTCATGTTAATGGGGGAGGAACAATTCAGAAAAGGAAGGTGAGGGTGGTTGCACAATGCTAAGAGTGTAATCAATGTCACTGAATTATACTTGTAGTAAGTGTTGAACTGGTGTATGTTTTGCTGTGTATACTCTCAACAACAACAACAAAAATAAACAAATTATTTTTAAAAAACAAAAAAGACTTTCTCTGCTGTGAGATGCTGAGGTTCTGCACACAGAGTGCTGGCCTTCCACCACGAGGGCCAGCATCCCCGGGGTCATTCGCTGGGGCAGTCAACTGACTTTCCCACGAGGTCAGGCAGGAGGGTGTGGGATTCTTCCCCTTGCCCCCCTTTCTCCATCTCCCCACTCCAGACACCACACTGCCTTCACCTCTGCTCAGACCTTCACCCCAATGTGTAACTCCAGGACCCCTGTCTCTGCCAGGGAAGGGGCACCAGGGCCTCCCAAAGAAAGCACCGGGGGGCCACGTGGAGGAAAATAGCTTGACCCCTCCGCCCTGGTAGGGGCGGTTCGCCCTCCAAGGGCCTGGTTCTGTCCTCGACTTGGGCTTCCTGTCCAACAGCGTTGGCGCTTCTGCCCTGGGGGCTTCAGGCCCTTCTCCCTGTGGGGTGTGACCGTGGCGAGTCCACGCAGAGCAGGCAGGCCACGGGGAGCTTGTGAGCTGTCAGCTGGCTCTTCCCCACCGCTCCCTGGACCGCTAGACCCACTTAGGACAGGAGCCGTCATTGTTTCCTGCCCCCAGGGAACAGATGGCAGCAGGGACAGCAAGACTCTGGCTCAGTCACAGTTCTGTTACAATTTGGGCTCGTGTGGAACGGGTAGTCTTTACTGTCTCAGCTGATAAGTGAAAAGTCAGCAGTTCAAACCCAGCGGCTCCATGGAAGAAAGACCTGGCAATCTGCTCCCGTAATGATTACAGCCTAGAAAACCCTACAGAGCAGTTCTGCTCCGTACTGTAGGGTCACTATGAGTCAGAATCGACTCGGTGTCACACAGCCACAGCGACACTGCCTCTCCTGGTTTCTTTCTGGAAGGGCTGACTGTGGGCGGGAAAACTATAATTTCCTTCTGACTGGATGTACATAGAGGGCAGTGTAAGATATTTTGGCTTAAACGATCTGGAAAGATGCCACGAGGAAATGACTGCCAGTGACGCGGAACGTGTGATGTTGTTGCAGGTGCAGCCCATGCAGCACGTCTACCCAGCCCAGGTGCAGTACGTGGAGGGGGGAGACGCCGTCTACACGAATGGAGCCATGTACGAGTTCTTTCTCCCTCTCCCCTTCTTTTACGACTCTTCCACCTCTTTCTGTTTGGGGCTGTGTTTGACCAAATTCTTCTCCTTTATCATTCTGATGGGTGTCCCCTGGTGGTGCAAACAGTTAACGCACTCGGCTGCCAACCAACAGGTTGGAGGTTCGAGTCTGCTCAGAGGTGCCTCGGAAGAAAGCCCTGGCAGTCTACTTCTGAAACATCAGCCACTGGAAACCCTACAGAGCACAGTTCTACTCTGGTACACCTGGGGTCGCCATGAGTGGGCGTCAGCTCGAGGGCCGCTGGTAGTGGTTTAGTTCTCCGTGGTTTTATCCCAGGTGCAGATTTGTGTAACCAGCCCCACATTCAAGATGCAGAAGTGCCCATGTCTACGAAGGAGCTCCCACACGTGATCCCTTTATTCACTCTTAGAGTTTTGAGAGGATCGTTTTTCGGTTAGCCAGCATATGAGCCTGAATACTTCCAGAGATGATAGTTTGGAACGTTACGTTGCGTGGGAATTTCATATACCGTGTTCCCATATGTCACCAGGCTCCAGTTTTCCCAGGAAGTTTGACTGGATTCCTTCAAAACTAAGAGAAGGCGCTTAAAGTGGACAGGGTCCCACAGTGACCTCTCTTTCTGACAGACGCACGGCCTATACCTACAACCCCGAGCCCCAGATGTACGCCCCCAGCAGCGCCGCGTCCTACTTCGAGGCCCCGGGTGGCACCCAGGTGACTGTGGCGGCCTCATCCCCGCCGGCAGTCCCCTCCCACAGCATGGTGGGCATCGCCATGGACGCCACAGGAAGCCCCATCATCTCCAGCGCGGGCGCCTATCTCATCCATGGGGGGATAGACAGCACGAGGCCCTCCCTGGCCCACACGTCCAGGTCGTCACCAGCCACGGTATGTAGGAGGGCCCACCCAGGGACCAGAGGGGTAGACCATGGTAGACTCACTGCAGCAGCCGGGTCAGTGAGTAAGGGGCAGCTGGAGGAGAGGGCTGTCTGCTGTGGGTCCAGGCGGCTCTGAGCTGGAGTCCTGCCAGCCTCAGAAAGGCCACGCGACCCGTGGCACGGCTCTCAACCTCTTTGAACCTCAGCTTCCCCCTTGGTAAAAAGAGGAGGATAAATCATATGTCACGGGCTGTTGTGAATTTTGAATATGAGTGAAACACCCCTAACAGTGGACGATGCTGCTTCTGCTGCTCTTGTGTTAACAGTGTGTTTATCAACCTCACAGAGGCTCGGATCGGTCCATCTGTATATAAAAAGCTGGGCTGAATTAAACAAGAGGAAGTTCTCCTTCAGAACTATACCCACTTCTTCTCAGCATGCTCCTATCCAAAATAATGACTTACCCACTTTAAAAAGTTATCTGCTTTGAAAACTCTGTTTTCCATGTTTGCTTTTATTTTTTGAAACAACGTAGAGTAAAATGAACTCTTTTTGGCATACAGTCCTATGACTTTTAACATATGTGTAGATTTGTGGGACCAGCACCACAGTCAAGAATGAGAATTCCATCACCCAAAAGCCCCTCTTGGTATTTCTCTGTGGGCATAATCTCCCCCCACCCATGAACCCTGGCAACCACCCATCTGTTCTCCATCATGATAATTTTGTCTTCTCGGAAATGTCAGATAAATGGATTCATACAGCATGTAACCTTTTGATATTCGCTTCTTTCACTCAGTATAGTGCCTCTGAGATCCATCCGAGTTGTTGCATGAATCAATAGTTCATTCATTTTTGTTGCTGAGTAGTATTCCGTTGTACTACAATTTGCTGATCCAGTCACCAGTTGAGGGGTATTTGGGTTGTTTCCAGTTTGGGGCAGTTATCAATCTGCTGTAAACATTCACAGACAGGTTTTTGTAGGGATGTATGTTTTGCCTTCTTGGGTAAATATCTACAAGTGGGATTGCTGGCTCATTTGGTAAGTGTATGTTTAACATCATAAAAAATCACCAAACAGTTATCCCTAGTGGTTGTACCATCTTGCATTCCCTCCGGCAGTGTAGGAGAGTTCCAGTTGCTCCATTTCATCATTGTCAACAGTTGGTATTGTCAGTATTTTTTATTTTAGTCATTCTAATAGGTGTGTAGCAGTTCCTCCTGATGGTTTAAATTTGATTTTCCTTTATAGCTAATGATGCTAAGCAGCTTTTAGTCTGCTTATTTGCCTTCCACATATGTTCTTTGGTGAAGTTCAAGTCATTTGCCTATTTCTTAACTGGGTTTTTTGTTTCTTACTGTTGAGTTTTGACAATTCTTTATATAGTCTGGATACAAGTCCTCTGTCAGATATGTGATTTTCAAACATTTCCTCCAAGTGTTTTCAGAGTGTCTTTTGATTCTCTTAAGAGTGTCTTTTGCAAAGAAAAAAAGTTTTATTTTGATTGAGTCCAATTTACAAATTTCTTCTTTGAATCATGCTTTCTGGTGTCACATTAAGAACTCTTTGCCTTTCCACAGGTTATGAAGATTTTACCCTATTTTTTCTTTTAAATGTTTTTAATTTTTATGTTTTACATTTAGATATGTTTTATCTTAAGTTAATTTTTGCATAAGGTGTGAGGTTTAGGTTAAGGTTTATTTTTTTGCACTTGAAACAACCAGTTGCTCCAGCATCATTTGTTAAAAAGACTATCCTTTCTCCGCTGGATTGCTTTGGCGCTTTGGTCAAAAATCAGTTGGCCATACGTATGGGTCTATTTCAGGACTTCTGTTCTGTCCTTTGATCTGTGTGTGTTTCCTTCTGCCAGTACCACACCGTCTTAATTACTGTAGCTTTATGTTGATGTTGTTAGTTGCCACTGAGTCGGCTCTGACTCATTGCGACTTGATGTCTAACAGAATGAAACGCTGCCTGGTCCTGTGCCATCTTCGTGACCATTGGTGTGTGTGAGCCCTTTGTTGCAGCTTTTGTGTCAATCCACCTCACTGAGGGTTTCCCTCATTTTCACTGACCCTCTACTTTACCAAACATGATGTCCTTGTCTAGCAATTGGTGTTTTCCTAGTGACATGTCCAAAGTAAGCGAGCCGAGGTCTTGCCATCCTCGCTTCTAAGGAGCATTCTGATTGTATTTCTTCTAAGACTGATTTGTTCATTCCCTTGCAGTCCAGAGTATATTCAATATTCTTTGCCAACACCACAGTTCGAATGCATCAGTTCTTCTTCTGACTTCCTTTTCATTTCATTTCATATATGCATGTGAAAGCTGGATAATGAAAAAGGGAGAAAAAAAACTAAAACTTAGAAGCACAGGGTTTTCAAGGCTGTGACGTTTCAGAAGCAGGGTGCCAGGCCTGTGTTCCAGGGCGCCTCTGGGTGGGTTCAAACCGCCAACCTTTTGGCTAATAGTCGAGAACTTAACAACCAATTGCGACATGCCGGGACTCCAAGGTGGCAGAGAAATATAGCTGTGGGCGCTCGCCTGATTGCCAAGCTTCAGATCAAAGGTCCAAAAGGGGCAGGGAAGGGATGTGTGTGTTTCTTCTCTTTAGTGTAGAGGTGGTGACTGCCCTCCGCCCCCTGGCCTCTGCCCTGGGCTGATGGGTCAGGAAGGTCCCTGCCCCCCAACCCTCCCAGGCACATGAAGGGGCAGTGAGGCGCATTTCCCGGGTTCCCTCGGTGTTTCTCAGGCCGGCCCTCACGGTCTTGGTCACCTCCACCCACCCACTGCCGTAGAGTTGATTCCGACTGACAGCAAACCCACGGGGTTTCCAAGGCTGTAAATCTCTACCGAAGCAGACTGTCACATCTTTCTCCTGCAGAGCCGCTGGTGGTTTCGAGCACTGACCATTCAGTTAGCAGTCGATCACTTTAACCACTGCCACCGGGGCTCCTTCCTTAGTTACCTAGTGCTGCTGAACTACAAACACCCCAGGTGGATTGCCTTAAAGAACACAAATTTATTTCCTCTCAGTTCTGGAGGGTAGGAGTCCAAATCAGGTCGTGGCTCTAGGGGGAGGTCCTTCCTTATCTATTTTAGCTTCTAGTAGCTGCGGCGACCCTTGGCGTTTCTGGGCTTGTAAATTCACCTGCATCCCTCGTCATCAGATAGCATCTATCTTCCCCCTGTGTGTATCTCTATGTCTATGCTTCTCTTTATATAAAACTCAGAAGTGATTAGGTTTAGGATCCACCCTACATTGGGTGGCGCAAATTGTTAAGCGCTCAACTAGTAGCCAAAAAGTTGACAATTCCAACCCACCCAGCGCACCTCGGAAGATGTTGTTGTTGTTAGGTGCCATCAAGTTGGTTCTAACTCATAGTGACCCTATGCACCACAGAACAAAATACTGCCCAATCCTGCGCCATCCTCACAATAGTTATTATGCTTGAGCCCATTGTTGCGGCCACTGTGTCAATCCATCTCATTGAGGGACTTCCTCTTTTTTGCTGACCCTCTACTTTACCAAGCATGATGTCCTTCTACAGGGACTGGTCCCTCCTGTTAACATGTTCAAAGTATGTAAGACGTAATCGCGCCATCCTTCCTTCTAAAGAGCATTCTGGTTGTACTTCTTCCAAGACATCTCAGAAGATAGGCCTGGAGATCTGCTTCCTAAAGGTTACAGTCTTGAAAACCTTATGGAGCAATTATACACTGCATACATGGGTCCATGAGCCGGAATTGACTTGACAGCAACTAACAACAACAACTACACTGGTGTGGTCTCAACTGATTGATTACATTCCATTCCATTGCATTATGGAAAGTCATTACATTAATTACATATGGAAGGTGATTACATTACATCCACAGGCACAGGGGTTAGGACTCCAACACATATTTTGGGAGGACACAATTCAGCCCCTCACACCAGCCTTCTAGTTGATCTTTCTTAAAGGTGACACTCACATCCCCTTTAACTTCCAGTAGGTTTAGCTAATGAGAAAAAGTAAAACAATGGCGGTACAAGAGGTAACAGGAGAAGCAGTAACCCTCTCACTCTTGACCTCAGCTCCAGGGAACCAGCTCAGCTGCCCCCTCTGAAATACACATTCGACCTGCTTTTCACAGAAGCAGCATTGAAGTCATTGCCTTCCTTTGATGTTTCTGGAAAGAAAGCGTGTACTCGGTGTTCGTTTCCTTCCCTGGCAGTTCTTTACCTGTGATGGTGGAGATGCAGCAGATTGGAAGTTTCCATTCTTAATGGACAAGTCTAGGTCACATCTGAGATGTACAGATGTGGTGTAGAGAGAGAGATTTAAAGAACTACTCACGTGATTGTGGGGGCTGGCAAGGATGAAATGTGTAGGCCAGGGCTTTGCTGACAGGATAGGCTGCCCAGGAAGCAAGTGTTGGCCGGCTGCGCTTGGAGGAGTCCCTGGTGGTGTAAATGGTTGAGCACTCAGCCACTAATTGCCAGGTTGGCGGTTCGGATCCCCACGGGGGGCTGCGATCTACTTCCAAAAACCCTCTGGATCACAGTTCTACTTCGACACACGTGGGGTTACTGTGAGTCAGTATTGACTCGACAGCAACGGGTTTGGTTTAGACTGTACTTGGTGCCGGCCATCCGATTCTCCCTAGCGACAGATAACCAGGTCTGGGATGTATCTTGGAGCCCTGCTGGTGCAATAGTTAAGAGTTCGGCTGCGAACCAGAAGGTCAGTAGTTTGAATCCACCAGTCGCTCCTTGGAAACCCTGTGGGACAGTTCTCATCTGTCCTGTGGGGTCACTGTGAGTCGGAATTGACAGCAACAGGTTTGGTTTTGGTTTTTTTAGGGGGTATAGCTTAGTTTCCTAGGGCTGCCGTAACGAAATACCACAAAATGGGTGGCTTTAAAGAACAGAAGTTTATTGTCTGAAGTCTAGAAGTCTGAACTGAGGACAGCAGTAGGGCCATGCTCTCTGTCAGCTCTGGGATAAGACCGTTCCTTGACACTCAGCTCCTGTAGCCCTGGGTGTTTCTTTCTTTCTTTTTTAAATTTTATTTTGTAGTACTTTAAGTGAAAGTTTACAATTCAAGTCAGTCTCTCATACAAAAATTCATACATACATTGTTACGTGACCCTAATTGCTCTCCCTATGCTGTGACAGCACCCTCCTCCTTTCCACCCCAGATTTCCCGTGTCCATTCAACCAGCTCCTGACCCTGTCTGCCTTCTCATCTCGCCTCCGGACAGGAGCTGCCCATTTAGTCTCATGTATTTACTTGAGCTAAGAAGCACACTGTTCATAAGTATCATTTTATGTCCCATAGTCCAATCGAATCTTTGACTGAAGAGTTGGCCTCGGGAATGGTTTTAGTGCTGGGTTGACAGACAGTCCAGGGGCCATGCTTTCTGGGGTTCCTCCAGTCTCAGTCAGACCATTAAGTCTGGTCTTTTCACTAGAATTTGAGTTCTGCACCCCAGTCTTCTCCTGCTCCAACCGGGACTCTCTGTTGTGTTCCCTGTCAGGGTGGTCATTGGTGGTAGGCGGGCACCATCTAGTTCCTCTGGTCTCAGGCTGATGCAGTCTCTGGTTTCCGTGGCCCTTTCTGTCTCTCGGGCTAATACTTTCCTTGTGACGTTGGTGTTCTTCATTCTCCTTTGCTCCAGGTGGGTTGGGAACAATTGATGCATCTTAGATGGCCACTTGCTAGCTTTTAAGACCCCAGATGCCACTCACCAAAGTGGGATGCAAAACATTTTCTTAATAAACTTTGTTATGACAATTGACCTAGACGTCCCCTGAGAGCATGATCCCCAGACCTCCATCCCTGGGCGTTTCTTGACATTCTTTGGCTTGCAGACAGATCCTCACGTGCTGTCTTCCCCCTGCGTGTGACTCCATCTCCATGTCTGTTCTCCCCTTTTGTAAGACCCCACTCAGAAGGGGCTAGGACTAGGAGCCACCCTACTTAACTGATAACATCTTCAGAGAAAGACCCTACTTCCAAACAAGGTCGCGTTACAGGTGCAGGGGCCAGGACTTGTCTTTAGGAGACCCAAGTCCACCCCTAATGGGAGTAGCAGGTGATTATTTTGCTGACTTTGCTTACACTTGAGTTTACTGAGCGACTCAGTATTAACACTGTCTGCAGGTGCGCATACACACATGCCGTTCCGATTAAATTGCGAGTTTCCTGAAATAGCTGCATTCTGCTCTCCTGTGTGGCGGACCCCGGGGAGAGCGCACAGGTGGTGAAGTGACGTTCCTACCGCAGCTTCCGTTCACGCTGACTGTGCCTTGTGTCCCCCGCCGGTGTGCAGTCTCCTTATATCTTGTAGGCGCTTCAATCGTGATGTCGATGTTAATAAAGACAAATCTGGGCTGATGCTAACCATCTGATTTCCTTTTTTTTTTTCTTCTTCTTCTTCCATTTTATTTTGTTTTGTTTTGTTCTGCACACATCTTCTGTAGCTTGAAATGGCGATTGAAAACCTCCAAAAAAGTGAAGGGATTACATCACACAAAGGCGGTTTACTCAACAGCCATGTAAGTGTGTGTCGGTCGTTACCGTCTGCCCTGCCATGCTCGTAACCTTCTAGACGTTTCCCAAACCAAGAACATGGGACTCGGGATGCCGTAAAGACTCCTGTAACTGGCTTTCCTGTGATCAGCTCTTGGAAGGAAATGGTGATTTGAGAAAAGCATAAAGCGATTTCGTTTCTACTAACCTGAGCTGTGTAAGATTTTTCTCCTTCACTTGCCTCATGGGGGAATCCGAGGCCATTTGTTCCGAGATAGTCGGTTGTAAAATTCCTTGTCTCTGGGCGGCTTCGGGGCAGGATGGCACTGGAGGTGACTGTCAACGAGTCTTTATTTCTGGGGACAATTGAGAAGAGAAACTGTGTCTCCTTAAGCTCCTCCCCTCTCACTTTGCCTCTCTCCCAAACGTTGGAAATTTGGCCTTGCACGTAACTGGAAGTTTGTTTGGCATTTGGAAAACAGGACAGGCCGTTGAAATCAGAATGTTCTGCTAGTAGTTGCTTTCTGGCCCTGACGCTGAGATTTAATAGTCTCCTGAGAACTGAAGCATCAACAAAGAAGAAATCCCCGTTAGTCAGGCACGGGCCCTATCTGAGAGCCGGTCAGCACTTCGTACGGGCCCAAGTTCAAAGTGAGGGGTTGCTAGACAGACAGCGATTCCAGGGGTGGAAGCCGATCTGGGGAAAGGTCCGGAAGCCCTCCAGGTCTGAGGGCTGAGCCTGGGCACAGTCGGCTGCACAGGAAGCACTGGTGGGGTGTGTCACCCTGTGTCCCTGTTCACCTGCAGGCTGGTCAGTAAGAGACACCACAGCCTCAGGCCGCTTGTCTTGAAGCAGAAAAAAAAGTACATTCCGGCCCCTGCTCAGTGCCTGCCCCACAGGCTCGAGGGGATGAGGCCCCCCATCATGCACCACTGCCAGGGAGATGTCATCTCTGGGGTGCCCTTGGGGAGAAGCCCCCCAGTTGTGAACTCAGAGTACACTCAGTGGAAAGAAGGACGTTCTGCAGCTCTGAAGCCAGCACATGTGGCCACTGTGTCAGCCTGCAGGGTCCCCTGCATTAGGTCAGCACTGGGATACCCCATGAGGAAGGCAGAAGGCGGGACGCAGACTACAGGTGGCCCTGCACCAGCGGAAGTTTACAGTGTCTGTGGGAAATGCATGAGCCGCTTGTCTGCACGGATGCGATGCTTCCGGCTCCCTAACACTGTCGGGCAGAGGACTGGCCTTCTCTGATTGCTTCCGCTGGCCGGCAGTCCGTGTTCACTTCCCGTCCCTGTTCCCGCCCAGGATTTGGTGTTGAGTTGTGTTCTCCCATCTGGAACTGTGATAAGTAGAGTTTAGTGTTTGATGATTTAGGAGGGGCCCTGGGTGGCACAGATGGTTTGTGCTCAGCTGCCAACCTAAAGGTTGGTGGTTCAAACCCACCCAGTGGTGCCATGGAAGAAAGGCCTGGAGATCTCCTTCTGAAAAAATCAGCCAGTGAAAGCCCTATGGAGCACAGTTCTACTTGACATACATGGGGTCACCGTGAGTCGAGGTTGATGGCAACGAGTTTGTTTTGTTTTGTTTTTGAAGCAAAGGAAACAGACGTAAAATCTTTCCAAAATGTCAGTCACACACGCTGGAGTGAAATAGGCCTTGGTCTTGTCTTGGCAATGCAAGCAAAGGAGAGGAGAGTTACAGAGCATGAGCCAGCTGACGGATGTGACACTGCGTCCAGCCGACGCCCGTCGCTGTCTCGCTGGCCAGGCCTGCCCTCTGCCCAGCCGCACACTCACCTGTGAGGTTGTCACCCGGCTGCCCGTGGGCGAGGTCTCTCTAGTGTTGGGCAGCAAAATCTGGAAGTCTGGGGTGGGGGAGGTCACAGCCGCATCCCTGCTCCTTCACCAGCCCAACCCAGAGCTCGCCCCCAAGAGGAGGAAAGGGCAGTGGAGGTGGTCGCCTTTGCCTCCCTGAAGGCATGTCCAGAACCTTCTCTGCCAGGTACAGGAGCCTAGGGGGCGGGGATGGCGGTGCTGCGGGGCTGTGGCCTGTGGCCTGCTTCCCCGGTGTCCCCAGAACTCCCTGCCACGGGCCTGCCTCCTCCCCAGCCAGCCAGTGACCAGGGGGCCATGGGCCAGGCGCAGGCTCCAGCTGATCAGCACCAACACAGGAACGAAAGAATGAGGTGCAGAAACTCCCCCTGGGGGCTCAGAATTTGAGGGCAGGAAAACATACCCAGGTTAAACCTCAGTGCGCACAGCAGACCCACCGGTGGAGGGTGACAGCGGGGACGGGGCGTGCGTGTTCTGCGGTCTGTGGGTGTTTCCTTTTGGACGCGCTCTCTTAGGGCCTGAGGCGTCCCCTGGGGCCCGGAGCTGGGAGGACCAGACAGAACTTTCCAGACCCAGTGGACAGACATTGAGGTCACCTGGGGAATTCCAACCACTTCTCCCCCGGCTGCTCCCCTGGAAGCTGGGCCCAGGGTCTGCAGGCCTGGGGGTCTGCAGGCCTCGGGGTCTGCCTGCTGCAAGAACTTCTCCTGCCCCGTCACCAGGTGTGGGCCTCGAGGGGTTTCTAAGATGCGAGAATGAAAATGGGGATAGCTCTTCTAGAGGAAGGAGGTGAAGAAGCTTGTGGGGGTGGGGGACGGAAGCATATCTTCACCCTCAGGGGGTCGCTGTAGTCTCTCTTGGGGTGCAGCCGCTGTCCTGGGAAAGCCTTGGCCGAGGTCCCGCCAAGAGCAGAGGGGGCTGTGGGCGCCTGGGAAGTATTGGATGCTTCTCAGCCAGACCCCCAAGGCTGCCACTCCACAGACGGGGTCCTCCCTGCCCCCTGGATCCTCTCCCAGGAGCCCCTGCCCATCGATGACTCAGGGACCCACAGAGCCGGTTCCCGAGCCCCGGTCACGGGGAGGAACTGCTGTCTGCTAAAATAAACTGACGTCTTGCCCAGTCCTGGGCGACGGATGAGGCCCGCTTCAGGATGAATTGTACGCAGATTATATGACTTTTTTTTTTTTTAAACCGAGAAACAAATTGTTGAAGCTCACGTAGCCCTCAGTGAGTTGCCAACCGTAGACAGACGTCACGGCCAAGCATGTCACCTGCAGACCGAGGTCAGCGAGAGCTGGCGGCGTCAGGGGAGGGCTCTCGTGTCCCGAGGTCGCTCCAAGCAGGGATCTGGGGTGGACGGCCGGTTTTCTTTCCGTATCCTCCCCTGCTGCACTGCCTGGCTGGCTGCGCCTGCCTCCTGGTGGGAAATGCTGTTTCCACGCTGGCGCCTCCCATTGGTTTCCCACCCGGATCTCGCCTCCCTTCCCAAGGTGTTTATCCACCTGCGGCCCGAAGAAGCATCTCCCCACCGCATGTCCAGCATGTCCGACACCGAGCTCCTGACCTTCACCCCCCAAGGAGGACCCTCCTCCCACCGTCTTCCCCACCCCGTCCCAGCAGCTTCATCCTTCCTGGTGCTCAAACCCTGAACCCGTCCTGCCCCTCTTGCTCCCACGGGCTCCCGCCAGTCCGTCTGACCACGTTCTCTGACTTGACCTTGAAGATTTGTCCAGAATCAGGCCCCTTCTCGCCACCTCCACGGGGCAGCATCACCGCGTCACCTGTCACCCTCTGCCTCCACCCGGCCCTCTATCGCCTTTTCTCAGGGAAGCCACCAGAGGGCATCCTGTGACAACAAGTCAGACCACGGCATTTCCCCCGCTCAGAATCCGCCAGGGCGCCACTCACTCCAGGTGGAAGCCGGGCCATCAAAACAGCCCACGGGGCCTGCACCCCCTGCCCTGTCCCCTCGCTGCCTTCCCCTGCTCCTCTCTCCCCCTCGCTCACTCTGCTTCAGCTACACGGGCCTCCTCGCTGTTCGTCCAGCTCACCAGGCACAGACCTGCCTCAGGGCCTTGGCACGGCTGCTCCCTCTACCTGGAACGCTCTTCCCCAGATACCCACACCTCGTTCACCTCCTCTCACCTCCCACAGGTCTTTCCCCACTCAGCACTTTCAAAGTGAGTCTTCCGTGACGCCGCCCCCACCCGCAATTTAAAATCACAGTTCTCCCTTCAGCCCACTCCACACTGGAGTCTCATCTCCTTTCCTGGGTTAATTTTTCTCAGCACTTAACACCATCTCTCATTCTGTCCATTTTCCTTATTTATGGTGGGTCTGTTCCCCACGAGAACGGAAGCTTCATGAGGGCAGGGATTCTGGTTTGTCTTCCTCACTGTTGTGTCCCGGCGCCTAGAACAGGACCCGGCATAAAGTCAGCTCTCGATAAATGTGTGATGAAGGGATGGAAAGCTGGGTGTTTCAAGTACAATTATATCACCACAAAACAAATACTGGAGCTCTGCAGAGCTGCTGAATTGCTAGAATATGGCACAGCAAGAATCTAGCTCTCCAGCAGCCAGTCACAAGCCAAGGTCAGGTGTATTCCCCCTAGGGGGCTAGGTAGGGTGGGGCACGCCTGAGTCCAGACTTTAAGACCCCACCTGGCGATCTGCTTCCAAAAACTCAGCCATTGAAAACCCTATGGCGCATGCATGGGATGGCCATGAGGTGGAATTGACTCAGTGGCAACTGGCTTGGAGTCTCTGGGTGGTGCAAATGGTTAAGACACTCGGCTGCTAACGGAAAGGTTGGAGGTTCAAGTCCACCCAGAGGTGCCTCAGAAGAAAGGCCTGGCAATCTACTTCTGAAAAATCAGCCACGGAAAGCCCTGCAGAGCAGAGTTCTACTCGGCCACTGGCGGCGGTGGTGTGGGGTCAGTTTTCCGTGTAGTTACTTTCGATTTAGCAGAAAGAACTTCTTGCCCAGATAGTCACGTTTCCTTCTGCCGTCCGCGTATTACCCAGAGAACTGGACTTTCAGTTTAAATAGTACATGGGTAGCACGAAAGACGTCATCTTTTCCAAATCTGTCTTTTGAGCCAGCCCGAGGCCCCCGGTAAGGGGGTGGAGGAACAGGTAGGCCTTAGACCTCGTCCCTCAGGACTCCGAGTCCAGTCCTCCTTCCAGCCTGCCACCCAAACAATCAGGACTCGCGCTCTGTCTTCATTTCCCAGGGCGGCCGTAACAAAAAGACCACGAGCGGGTGGCTTGAAAGAACAGACACGTATTGTCTCAGAGTTTGGGAGAATCAGGGTATCGGCTGTAGAGGAGGGGCCCCCCTCGTCTGCAGCCCCCGGCGTTCCTTGGTTCTTGGCTTGTCCATCGTTCCCCACACAGTCTCTTCCCATCTCTGGCTCCTGTGTCTGTTCCCTCTCTGTAAGACACCGCTCCGAAGAGACGAGGTTCGGGACCCGCCCTACTCCAGTATGACCCCAGTAACCCGTGTTCTCCTGTCACACTCCCCACTCCACGGGCCCCCAGCCTCCCAGACGAAGGGAGGGAAGGGATCAACCCAGATGTGTTCAGAGTGACCACGTGGGCACGGGAAAGAGGAATGTACTACAAGGGTCCAAGGGGCAAGAGGGCAGCGCCACCAATGACTGAACTGGTTACTAACTTCAGAATTAAGGATTTGGTTCGTGGTGCGAATGGTTAACACACTCGACTGCTAACCAAAAAGTTGGAGGTTCAAGTCTGCCCAGAGGCACCTCGGAAGAAAGGCCTGGCGAACTACTTTTAAATCAGCCATTGAAAACTCTGTGGAGCACAGTTCTACTCTGATACACATGCGGTGCCATGAATTGGAGTCGACTTGATGGGAACTGTTTTGTTTTGTTTTTTTAACGCAGAGAGCGGTGCTGATGGGTCCCGTTAGTTTTCTTTAATTGTCCTTCTCTTGGCCTAAGAATTTATTTCCATTCCTCTAGGTTTAGCTAGGTCCCTGGGTGGCACAAATGGTTAAATGGTTAAGTGTTCAACTACTAGCCGAAAGGCTGGCAGTTCAAACCCACCCGGAGGCACGTTGGAGGACGGGCCTGATGATCTGCTTCCGAAAGGTCACAGCCTTGAGCTATGGGGCATGGTTCTCCGTACACATGGGGTCACCATGAGTCAAAATTGACTCGACAGGAACTCACAACAACAGCGTCAAGGTTTAGGAGATACTTGGTATTGTATTTGGTATTCAAACTGTGAGCGGAGTGTGGGGGTGTTTAATTATGAAGCTAGATAGAACCTAATAGGTCGCAATCACGTGCAGATTTTTATAAAATAATCCAAAGAAGCTGAAAACAGGCTGAAAAATGAAGGAATACATGAATGAACTAAAGTAGACTATTAATTCGAGTGCTTAGAATTTCTTGAACACAAATCCACGGTAGTAAAAATGAATTAATTGTTTGGCAGCGGAGCGCCCTGTAATTCTCTTCAGGGGTCTGTGTTGCCCACTGTAGCATTTTTCGGGGTTTTGACAAATGCAAACGTGTCTCCCTCTGTCCAGCTCCAGTGGTTGTTGGACAATTATGAAACCGCCGAAGGCGTGAGTCTGCCCAGAAGTTCCCTCTACAGCCACTACCTTCGACACTGCCAGGAGCACAAGCTAGACCCCGTGAACGCCGCCTCCTTCGGGAAGCTGATCCGCTCCGTGTTCATGGGCCTGAGGACGCGACGCCTAGGAACCAGGTGGGCGGTGGGTGAGGCCACGGCTCTGATGCCCCAGACACCCCACTTTCTTTAAGGAGAAATTGAGCTTTTTGTGGAACGTGGGGCTTCTTCATTCTAGTGAGGTGTCCTAACCTGCACCCAACTCTGGGTGAGCCTGAAGCACCCTGAGTTAACCGTGCCCTGGGCACAAACGCTTTGAGCTCAATGACTAGCCAAAAGGTTGGCGGTTCAAACCTGCCCAGAGGCGCCTTGGAAGAAAGGCTTGGCGATCTACTTCCAAAAGGTCACAGCCTTGAAAACCCTATGGAGCACAGTTCTACGCTGCACACATGGGGTCGCCAGGAGTCGGAGTTGATGCAACAGCAACTAAGAACGACAACAACTAACCTAAAGGTTGTCAGTTTGAACCCCCCCAGCAGCACCACGGAAGAAAGGCCTGGTGATCTGTTTCTGTAAAGATGACAGCCAAGAAAACCTTATGGAGCACAGTTCGACCCTGAAGCACATGGGGTCACTATGAGTCGGAACGGACTCAAGGGCGGTGGGTTTGGGTTTTTGGTTTTAGGCCGTGGTGGTAGCCGAGGTCTGTTCCCTCCTTTAGAAGCTGGTGATGGGACATGGGCATGTGATTCAGTTCTTTCTCTTCATTTGAAATGTTCCATAATAGCGAGTTTTTTTTAAAGCATTTTCTTGATGATCTGAGTGCTGGAGTGGTATAAACAGTTCACATGCTCGGCTGCTAACTGAAAGGTTGGAGGTTTGAGTCCACCCAGAGGTGCCTCGGAAGTGAGGCCTGGCGATCTGCTTCCCAAAAAGCAGCCATTGAAAACCCTGTGAAGCACAGTTCTACTCTGACATGCATGGGGTCGCCGTGAGTTGGAATTGACTCAACAGCAGCTAGGTTTTTGGGGTTTAACAAAATTGAACGGATTTCCTCACTGCAGAGCCTTTATCATACTAAAATGAAGGGCCGGCCCAGGTGGGCGCGGGGACTCTCCGCGAGGGGCATCACAGGGGATTCTCCACGAGGGGCATGTTGGTTGTTTGCCGAGGAACAGCTCACGAACATTTCCCCGAGAGCCCCAGATGAAAGGCCAGATGAGCGCCCTGGCTCATGAAGGGCGTCCACAGCGCTGACCTGTGGCGTTGGTTTCCAGGGGCAACTCCAAGTATCACTACTACGGGATCCGCCTGAAGCCAGACTCCCCGCTGAACCGGCTGCAGGAGGACACGCAGTACATGGCAATGCGGCAGCAGCCCGTGCACCAGAAGCCCAGGTCGGGGGGCCTGCCCGGGTGGGTGCGGGGTCCTCAGCCCGTGCACCAGAAGCCCAGGTCGGGGGGCCTGCCCGGGCGGGTGCGGGGTCCTCCGCCCGTGCACCAGAAGCCCAGGTCGGGGGGCCTGCCCGGGCAGGTGCGGGGTCCTCAGCCCGTGCACCAGAAGCCCAGGTCGGGGGGCCTGCCCGGGCGGGTGCGGGGTCCTCAGCCCGTGCACCAGAAGCCCAGGTCGGGGGGCCTGCCCGGGCGGGTGCGGGGTCCTCAGCCCGTGCACCAGAAGCCCAGGTCGGGGGGCCTGCCTGGGCGGGTGCGGGGTCCTCAGCCCGTGCACCAGAAAGCCCACATGTGGGGGGGCCTGCACGGGCGGGTGCGGGGTCCTCAGCCCATGCACCAGAAGCCCAGGTCGGGGGGCCTGCCCCAGCGGGTGTGGGGGCCGGCCCTGGCAGGTGCAGGCATCCACAAACGCTAAACTCCTCCAGAGGAGGGAGTGCCCACCCCCTCATGGGGAAAACACATCCACACTGGTCCGCAGTATCCGGGGGGAGCGAGACACTCATGCCACGTAGCAGGATGTGAGGAGAGCAAGAGACGGGGGAGGCTGTGTGTCCTAGCCAGAGTTCTCCAGAGAGAGCCAGTGAGAGAGAGGAGAGAGTGAGCGAGTGTGTGTCTGTATGTGGATACGTACATATGTATATGTGTTTGTGTATATGTATTTGTTGTTGTTCTCGATTCCGACTCATAGTGACCCCAAGACAGAGTAGAACTGCCCCATAGGATTTTCTAGGTTGTGATAGAAAGAGATAAAGTGTGTGTGTATACACAAGTACATAGTACATTATATATATGTGTGTATGTACGTGTGTGTGTATATATGTATTTATAAACCCAAAACCAAACCCGCTGCCATCAAGTCTGCTCCGACTCATAGTGACGCTATAGGACAGAGTAGAACTGCCCCATAGAGTTTCCAAGGAGTGGCTGGTAGATTCGAACTGCCGACCTTTTGGTTAGCAGCCGAGCTCTTAACTGCTGTGCCACCAGGGCTCCTTTATATATGTATACACACACACACACACACACATAGATACCCGAGTGGCACAAACAGAAAAGTGCTTGCTTGGTAACCAAAAGGTTGGCAGTTTGAGTCCACCCGGGGTGCCTCAAAAGAAAGGCCTGGCAATCTGATCTCCTTCCAAAAACAGCCATTGAAAACCCTATGGAGCACAGTTCTACTCGGACACACGTGGGGTTGCCATGAGTCAGGGTCGACTCGACAGCAACTGGTTTGGTGTGTGTGTGTGTGTGTGTGTGTGTGTGTGTGTGTCAAGAGTCGGGGAGCCCTGGTGGCACAGTGGTTGAGAGCCACGGTAGCTAACCAAAAGTTCAGCAGTTCAAATCACCAGCCACTCCTTGGAAACCCCATGGGGCAGTTCTACTCTGTCCTATAAGGTCACTACGAGTCGGAATCTACTCGACAGCAATGGGTTTTCAAGAGGGAGAGGGTGTACTTCAAGGAATTGGCTCACATGATTAGGGTGGGAGGTGGGGCAAGTCCCAGATCTGTAGGTAAGGCAACAGGCTGGAGACCCCTACCGGCTTGTGTTCCCAAATCCAGAGATCAGGGGGCAGGAAGAGTACAGAGTAAGAGTGTTCTGGCAGAATGTGTATTTGTACTCTGGAGGCTGCACATACCCCAGGGAAACTTGCTTTTTGCTCTTCAGTCCTTCAGCTGATTGGATGAGGCCCACCCCCATTTTGGAGGCTAACCTCCTTTACTTGAGACCAACTGATTTAATCGCATGGAACTACCTCATACCAGCAGCTAGACTAGTAGACCGGAGCTGAGCCACGGTGACACGTAGAATTCACCACCACACAGTGGATACAGCCTCATCCAGAGAGAGAACTATGAAAATAAGCCAAGTGTAATAACCCCAGAAAGTTTACTCAAAATAACCCAAGCCAAGAGAAAGACATTATCTATTTAAATCACTGCTGCTTCCTGACATTTTGAGCCAATGGCTGGGAAGGCCTGGTCATTTTCTGGTCTGTTCTTGTCCGTCCATCACAAAGCTAATCATCTTTTCCTGTGAAACAACAGCTAGTCAATATCTTCGGTCTTGCAGACCTGACAATCTCCGTTGCAGCTCCTCAGTTCCACCACGGTAGCATAGAAGTAGATGGAGACAATACATAAATGAATGAGCGTGGCTGTGTGCCGATAAAACTTTATTTACAAACACAATTGGCGGGCTGGATTTGACCTGCAGGCTGTAGTTTGCCAACCCGTGGTTTAAGGCCCCCACTCAAATGTCAGCACCCTGGAAGGCTTCCAGGGCACCCCTCTCCCCACCGGCCCCACTCTCTCCCTGACTTCCACTCCAGAGTCTAGAGTGCTCTGGTTGTGAGCGCTTTGAGCAGAGACCATGTCACACACTCCTCCATGTGACTCCTTCATGCCTAGTGCCCAGCCTGCTGCACAGAGAGGCCATTCGGCGAGTCCATGACTCAAACCCAGTGTTGCTGCTGTAAACTACCCCAGTGACCCCTAACCAGATGGTCAGTCGTGGGAGCTGGAAGTCACAGAAAATGTTCTCCAGAAGCCAACAGATAAGAATGGAACCAGTAGTCCATTTTGTACCTTGGTTTCCACAGCCATGGACCATACAGCTTCTTGTCGTTGTTGTGACTATTGAGTTTGGTCCTTGCAAACCAGGCAAGGTGCTATTTTAATGAAGCTCCTTCAGTCTAGAATTCTTGCCTTCCGTGTGGGAGACCCAGGTGTGATTCTCAGCCCATGCACTCATGCTCCGTCACCACCTGTCTGTCAGTGCAGGCTTGCGTGTTGCTATGACGCTGAACAGGTTTCAGTGGAGCTTCCAGACTAAGACGGACTAGGAAGAAAGGCCTGGCGATCTACTTCCGAAAATCAGCCAGTGAAAACTGTATGGAGCACAATGGTCTGATCCATAACCGATCATGGAGATGACGTAGGACCGGGCAGTGTTTTGTCTGTTGTGCACGGAGTCACCGTGAGTCGGGACCGACTCCACAGCAGCCGACAACAGCACATTTCTGGGGATAGGCTGTGTCATTCACACTTGAAAAGCCACCACCTGAGGTGGTCTTGGTTGGATGCTGCTGGCTCCAGCCCTGAGCCGTCTGACCCGGCCTGTCTCCCACCCTCACTACCCCCGGCCCCACCTCCCAGCTCTGGCTGGCCCTGCCCTGCCCTCCACCCAGCCCCCTGCCGCCTCCCAGGGTGCACCTGGGCTTCGGAGAGGCTGCAGCTCTGGACGCCTCACCTGGGCTGAGGTTTCCCCCGTTCTGTCTGCACAGGCTGTGCCCTGCAGTGTGGCTCAGGGCAAGATGGACTTCTGGGAGTTCCCTTGGAGACCACACAGTGGAGACATGTTTGTGATTCTACACAAAGAAGTCCAGGTCTTCTAAGAGAGAAAAAACAAAATTTTTTAATCCGCAATATTTATAGCAGCACTATTCACAGTAGCCAGAAGTGGAGACAACCTAAGTGTCCATCAGCAGATGAATGGATAAACACAATGTGGTGTATACACACGATGGCGTGTTGTCGTCATCAGGTGATGTGGAGTCAGCTCCAACTCACAGCGACCCCGTGTACAACAGACCGCAACACTGCCCGGTCCCGCGCCAGCCTCACAATCGTTGTTATGCTTGAGCCCATTGTTGCAGCCACTGTCAGTCCGTCTCGTTGAGGGTCTTGCTCTTTTTCGCTGAATGTTACTCAACCACAAAGAGAAATGACGATCTGGTACACGCTACAACACGTGTGAGCCTTCATCATGCTGACTGAAAGAAGCCAGGCGCGAGAGGACAAATCCTGTGAGCCCGCTTACATGAAATATCTGGACTAGGCAAATGCATAGAGACAGCACATCGGTCAGTGGTTACCGGGGAGAGGCAGATGGGGAAATGGGCAGATGCTGGTTAAGGGGTACAGAGTTTCTCTCTGGGGTGATGAGGAACAGTTGGATGTCCATAGCAGTGATGGTCGCACAGCATGGGGAACGTAACGTCACGGAGTAGTTCACTGAAAAACAGTTAAAATGGGAGATATTTGTTATCCCAGTAGTCCCCTACTTACAACATATTCCAGTTACGACGAACCTTGTCCATTTTTTTAATCCATATGTATTATCATTAGTCATATGTACTCCATACAACGTTGCAGCCCATAATTTGCTGATGTTATCATTCTCATGCCAACCCCCAAAGACAAATGAAGATCGAATTTATAAAGATACTGATAATAAAAGGCAATAATAATGAAAACTAAAAAAAAAAAAAAAGAGGTATTCAACTTACATCAGAACCGACATACGAGAGTCGTCGAAACAGGACTCCATTGTAAGTCGGGGACTACCCGTGTATATTTTTACCACACACACAAAAAACCCTAAAGGGAATCCTGCTCAGGCCCCTGGGCCCTGGACCCATCCTGGGCCATGCTGCTGGAGCTCATGGTGACATCTGCCCAGGTACCGGCCAGCCCAGAAGACAGACACCCTCGGGGACAGCGGCTCCAACAGCAGTCTGCACAGCACGCCCGAGCAGGCCATGGCCACCCAGAGCCAGCACCACCAGCAGTACATAGGTGAGAGCACGCACCCCAGCGTCACCCCGTCCATCCCCGGGGGCAGGGCTGGCTCTCCTAGAGGCTCCGGGGTTGCAGCATCTGAAGGAATGTGACTTCAGCAGTCTCCTCGTATAGAACTGTCGCATTTTCGTAGTGCTGCTGTAACAGGAATACCGCAGGTGGGTGGCTTCAACAAACAAATTTATCTTCTCGAGGTTTAGGAGAAGTTGGGGAGGCTAGAAAGGAGCGGCTGCTCGGGAGAAAGACTTGGCACTCCACCTCTGTAAAGATTACAGCCTGGGAGCCCTATGGGACAGTCCTACTCTGTCCCACGTGGCCGTTATGAGTCCAAATTGACTTGATGGTACCTGACAACAACCACAGGAGGCTAGCAGTCTGACTTCGGGGCGCCGGCGCTTGGAGAAGGCTTTCTGTGCGCGTTGGCTCTGGGGAAGGTCCTTGTCTCTTTTCAGCTTCTGTTCGTCTGTGATTTTCATGTGACATCAGTCTTCCCCTGTGTGCCTCCTCCTCTGTGTCTAGTCCGCCCCTTATGTATCTAAAAGTGATTGGGTCAGGGCACACCCTCCACTGAGATGGCCTCATCAACATGACACAGAAAGTCCTATTCCCAGATGGGATTACATCCACAGGTATAAAACCCAAAGCCAAACCCATTGCTGTCGAGTCAATTCCAACTCATAGCGACCCTCGAGGACAGAGTAGAACTGCCCCACAGGGTGTCTGAGAACTGCCCACCTTTCGGTTAGAACCGAGCTCTTAACCACTGCACCACCAGGGCTCCCCTCCACAGGTATAGGGGTTAGGATTTACAACACATATTTTGACGGGGACGCAATTCAATCCATAACAAAGAACTTTGAAGTTAGAGGAAAGTTCTAGAAAACCTGCTTTCTGGTATCCCTGAGATTCTAAAACTAATCAGCATATCCCCAAAAAATTCATGTATAAAATGACCGTCAGAGAAATAAGTAAATAAAACGAAATTGTCCTCAGAAAGGCTATAGACACTGTATTTAAAAAACTGTCAGCCAGCCTCGAGGCAGCGGGAGAATTTGGCCTCCACCCT